GGTGCTTATTTCTCCCTCCCACTTGGTTCTTCCCTTTTCCGGTGCCTGTCTGCTTCCAGGATATTCATGGCTCACCCTGGTCAAAGATTTCAGTTGTAAAAATCCTTTCTGTTTTAAATAGTCCTTCTGACAAACAATGTCTCTTTTAATAAAATATCTACACTTTCTCTTTTTTAATATATTTTATTGATTTTTTACGGAGAGGAAGGGAGAGAGATAGAGTTAGAAACATCGATGAGAGAGAAACATCGATCAGCCGCCTCCTGCACATCTCCCACTGGGGATGTGCCCGCAACCCAGGTACATGCCCTTGACCGGAATCAAACCTGGGACCCTTCAGTCCATAGGCCGACGCTCTATCCACTGAGCCAAACCGGTTTTGGCTGCTTTTCAATTTAAATGCACTTTTCTCTCCCATCAATACAGACTAATGTTGAGAACTGGTGACTTTTATAAAAATGAGCTGCTATGTTCTGGACCACTGAGCAGTGTGGAGTAGGCGAAATAAAATACTAGTAGTCCTCCTTGCTCACTTTGCGCTCAGTGAAGTCGATTAAAATTTTAGACCTGCCAGGTTCTCTCCTTCCACCTTGATTTCCTGTATCATTTCATGCCCATGTTAGAGCTATTTGTAATTCAGTCTGAGTTTTTCCTCCCAAAGGTCAGCCTAATCAGGCAGCCACCTACATGACATGATGTCAGAGGCGCTGGAAACATCTCACTTGAGGTCCATTCTCAGAAACAGGTTTTGCAGGAGAGAGGAGAAGGGAGAGCTATGGCAGGGGAAAGAGCAATAGGAGGGCCACAGAACAAGGGGAAGTCGTGCACCATGTGGCACAGGGTGGCCAGGGGCCCATGGCTTCTAAAAAGTACGGAGTTAACACTGCCGTTCTAAGGCCACCTCTTGAGATACTAAATTTTCTGTTTTGGCTAACTACAAATTTCTATTTTCAGGGACAGCATACATAAATCAGAATTAGATTGTAAGTCTCTAACTGTATGGACTCCTCTAAATTTCGAAATATTTCACATAATTCCAAAGGGAAATATTTCTACAATAAATGAGAACAAAGGTTTGGGGCTTGTAGAATCTGGGTTTTCCATACTTTTCTTAGCCCAGTTAAACAAAAGATTCTAAATATCCAAAACCCAGTGTACACATCAATTACAAGTGAAACGTCCTTGCCGCAGCTACTTAAGTTACATTTATTAGAGATACATCCCATTGATTAGGTAGTCAGATTCCTCGGATGTAATGGGACGAGCTTTCTTCAGCTTCTGTTTGAGCAGGCGTAGTCGGCAAGCAACCATGAGAAGCAGCAACGCAGTGATGGCCAAGCCCAGTGTCAGTGGCAGCACTGCACCTGTAAACAGTGGAAGTAGAGAGGGTGGGCCAGTGTTTTTATTGATTTCAGAGAGATGGGGGCGGGGGAGAGAAACATCAATGAGAGAAACGGATCGGCTGCCTCCTGCATACTTCTTACTGGGGATCAAGCCTGCAACTTGGGCATGTGTCCTGATTGGGAATTGAACCAGTAACCTCTTAATGCATGGGACAATGCTCAACCACTGAGCCACGCCAGCCCGGCAGCCTGGCGGTGGGTCCGTGATTGGATAAACACTTCGTATGGGCTATTTCATTTAATCTAAGTAACTCACTTAAGTAGACAGATACCTGCATTACCAGCATTTTGCAGATTTAACTGTGTTGCCAAGAGATTAATTGATCTAAGAGCACACACATAGCTTGTACATGGCAGATTGAGGTCTCAAAGCCAGACTTCTTTATACCCAAATTTTCTACCGGGTTCCTACAGAATTTAATGGCATCAATGGGTACAAATGTTGCAGTCAGATCAGCCTCATGTCCACTGTAATAGACACCCTGTCAGCAGGCAAGTGTTGACACTGTGACCACAGAAAACTTCATTGCAGTCAACAGTTGACATTTATGGATTCACACATGATCATTCCCTCTGAAAACAAGTATGGACAACTCCTGATGTTTTTATTTTTTCTAAATCCAGGGAACCTAGTTTCAGCCAGTAGAACCATGGTTGAAAATTAACTTCAAAATACGCTGGTGTAATTCTGGCTAAGGGTAGTTGAGGGAAAAGAAGCAAG